TTTATTTACAATAAAGTATTTATAATTTTAAAGGTACCATTCCATTTTTTATTTTACTCATCATATTTCTGTCATCATTCTCTCTGGTCTATCCTGCATATCCTAGATGGGGATAATACTACCAACGTTTTTCATACCAGAGCAGGCCATTGCTTTGGATATTGTAAGTAGGATACCACCTTTTTGCTTTTTACTTTGTATACTTATGTACTACACCATAAGATCTCTCTCTATTGTGTTTTCCCATATATATTGGACAGCATGAACAACAAAACAGAGCCACATTTATCCATAGACGGGGATTGTACCGTCCAGGCGAATAACAGCAGAGCTCTTAGTAGCTCAAGCATGTGTGAGTTAGCACTTTATTCACATTCTTCAAACAGTCCAAATTACTGCTACATATTGCACTATTTGTTGTCTATTTCTATTCACTTTTTAAGGTTACAGAAGTCATCTAATTCCTGCATATATAGACCGAATATAATTGATGTAAATATATCTTCTCTTATATCTACACCAAGTTCTGTATTATTTATTTTTCTTGGGGCACGGTTCATCACCCTGTTTGTCACTATTTGTACTGTTAGTGAGATTTTGGGAATTCTCACAGATTTACTGCTGCCCACCCATCCTTTTTACTGTAGTGAGTGCTTATTTCAATCTATTTGACTCAGTGTTCTCCTTCCCTGAGTCCCTAGTTGTAATGATACAAAAGCAGATCTCCTTTAGGTGGCTCCTATAATTTCCAGTTGAGATTATATTTCACCAGATATGTATAAATGTTGGCATATGATGTATAGAATGTGGTCTAAAAATTTTAAACATGAAGTAAAGAAATGAACCTACATTTTCTATTGACATGTGAAAGACTAAATTTGGAACCATACAACCAAGATATGTTACCTTCACAGACAGAGATATGTCTGTTTCTATCTCTACACATAATATGTATCCACGATTATTTGTCTTTCATGGTTTACAAACCATTTTCTTTAAAGCAGCATTGTATTTTCTGCTTTATAAATGATAGTGCAAGATAATGATTTTTATAAAAAAGATACATTTCCTATCATATGTAGAAGTACATTTTCATTAACTACACAGACGTTTAAAATCAAGCAAAGCATTCATAACCGAGACAGTCTACAGCATATGTTATAGGAAAAGCGTGCATTTGGAGATAAATATTTCAAAGCTAGCAGATGTTTTATAACCCATTTTTATATAAGTCTTATTTTGGCACATGCTTATCCTATTTTTACAGTATATCAATCACTTGTTTTCAGGGCTGCCAACAGAAATTGTGGGGCCCCTTATAAAACCACTAGCTCCCCACATTATACTTTCACAGACACACTTACACAAGTATCAACACATACTCACAGAGACACACATTCCCACACAACCATACACAATAACATATTCCCAGACACAAATAAATATAGAAGGGCATTTCAGGCAGACACACACATTGCCACAAACACACTCTGCATTCTCATACACTCACTGCCTGATGCACACACTCACTCCCAATCATATGCACACTCCCAAATATGCATCTTGAAATATTTAAATATATATATATATATATATATATATATATATATATATATATATATATAAAGCTGGGCCTGTAGTTGTGGGAGGGGCTTGATTTCCCTACTTAGGGATCGACAGACCCCTCCTCATTAACGTTGTTGATCTGGCGATTTACATACCTGGACGTCTGGCCGCAGCAGATCACCATTTTGCTTACCTTTCCTCGTGGATACCTTACCTGCTCTTAGAGTGTCTGACCATTCCTGGTTCGAGTCTTTTCAGCCGTCCAAGGCCTCAGGGATATTTCCCCTCGCCTCCGGTCTCTACCACTAACTGTTTTGAAGCTGCAGTAACAGTGAGTTGGTTGACCTTTGCGACCCTGTCGCGGGCGCACAGTCATCACGTGCCAACTCTATTCTCATTCTTACCTCTATTTCGTAAGCCTTTTTTGTAGTCTTTCGTTAACTTCCATACAAACGTACGGTTCAGTAGTTTGTTTAATTAATTTACCGCTTGTTGGTTCGTATGCATTGGCTTTTGTGAGTTTGCACTCACCCATTCGGCCTTTTGTTTGTACGCATGAACTTTACTTAGAATTCGTACAACATGTCTGTTATAGGGTTCGGTTAAACATGGAGCATTCGTTTTTAATGCGGCTCTTTGCCCCTCTTTGGGGCCGTTCGAATAATTACAACCAAATGCCCTATTATAGTAATAGGTATTCTCTGGGTCTATGTGAACAGTCGCATAATTGTATGTATATGCTTAATAGGGTTCTGGCCTCTAGATGCCATAGGGGAGTACTGCACTTTCAAAATGTCTGATCAAATACTTTTATGTTTAAATTTAATTGAGCAGCGCATTGTTGCTAATTTTGTTCTGCCTATTAGATATGTTGTAACAAGACGTTTTTTTACAAGTTGCTGGGCTTGAACCTTCCTTTTGGCTGTTCATCTGAGGGTTTTTCAAGTCTCATAGGTTCTGGTTGGCTCAGTTTCAATGGTCCCACTCGCTTTAGGTGGGTCCTTTTTACTTTTGTCAATTAGTAGTTAGTTATGCTTTCTTGGAGGTTCTGATGTTGGTTTTATTATATATTACAGATTGAAATCGAATCTCCTCTTTTTCGATTTCTACGATTTCATCCGTTTACATCGGATTATGGATCTTGGGATCCACACTACCTAGATAACCTAATTTGTTCCTTCTAGGCCCTACTGGTTATACTACCACTTACACTTTGCTGGTTCATTTTAGGCCTAGTCTATTGGCTGGTAGGTATTCCATATTACTTAGTTTTTTCTGCTATTCAACATTCACGATCTGAGTACAACAACATTGCTATTACTCTCTAGGTATTGCTCGGGTTCCAACTACTCTGTCCAACTCTATACCCATCAGATACGACAGGTATATGAACCAAGTGGTCGTTACACCTCCCCCTTCCCTATTCTGCAACTGGTACTAGGGTAAGAATTTTGTCTACTGGCTGGTAGGGTTCAGAGTCCACTTATGTCGTTTTTCTGTCCTTTTTGCCTTGACTTAGTGGTCCCATGAGGCCAACACCCATCCTCATACTCTGAGGTACTCACGCCCAATGGCCATCTCATAGTTAGTCGTCTCACATGTTAGTATAGAGAGGGCCTCCCCCTGTCACTCCCATGCTATCTTTTGCTTTACTGGTCACCGAGAGGCCGACACCCCACCACATTTTCGGTGGCCACAAAATCCCCTTGGGCCAACACATAGCTAGAGCTTCTCATGCCACTTGGCAATTAGTAAGGCTCACCTCTCCATTGTTAGATAATTTCTTCGCCACTTGGCATTAGGTAGCTAGCCAGTACGATAATATTACTTTGGTTACTCATGAATTTTGTCCTATCCTAGCATGTTTGAACTGCCAGAAGCTATTGAGGATTTGTCATTTCCCAGAATGCCTGCAAGGTCCATCTCTCCATCTCACGAAGAGGACAACGCCAGCCCGTCTTCCCTCAGGTCTTGGACAATACCTAGGATCATGGCCAAATTAAGGCATTTGAACATTCCCTACCCAGCCACTGCCAGGAAGGCTGAACTTTATAGACTGCTCAACATAAACACAGATAACACCTGGGCTGGTGAGGGCCTCAGTGGTGCCCAGTCATCTGAACTACAGGCTGTCCTGTCGTCAGTCTTGTCCTCATTGGGACAGATTACTGATAGGCTGAACCGTTTGGATGCTAGGGATAGGCCAGTGGCACCATCTGGATTAGTTACTCCAGAACCTACTGGTCTCTCCGGCACCCTAACTGGTAAATTCATCGGTCCACTACAGAACCCAAACATTATCAACCAAGCTCACATGGTGCCAGCTAATATTAAAAATGTTATCTTGGAAGGCAAGGATGTCAATCTAGTTTTGCTGCTGATTGCCTCCAAAGATATTCTTGAGAACAAGACGTATTCCTATGGCGATGTCTCTGTTGTACTGAAGGCTAGTGACCCCAGGTTGAATAGGAAGTTGTCAATTCCTGAGTTCGTCCTGACCTTTGGTATTTATAGGGACATGGTGTGCTTGATATATCCTGAGCGCAGAGAGGAATTTGATCTGTGTTTACACAAGCTGGTGGACCTGGGGCATGAGTATGGAGGTACATCATTTTATTATTACCATAGATTGTTCTCTGCAAAGGCTTCTGCAGCGCTGGCTCAGTTCAATTTTCAGACAGACTGGAGCCAGTTGGACATGGAGCTGTTTTGCAGGCATGTCGCGGGCTTCAGGTCCACAGTTTGTGGTATTTGCTCTTCTTCCTCACATGCCATGAACCTATATCCAGGGCCGGCGCGTCCATAAGGCGGCACAGGCGGCCGCCTTAGGGCGCACGGGCTCTGGGGGCGCAATATTTCAGTGACCGGCAGGAGGGAAGCTCTCCCTCCTGCCCGGCCACCATCTCGACCCCCGGCGCAGCGCGCGGCAGTGCTGTGATCAGGCGCGCGAGGGAGCTCTAATCTCCACCCTCTGCTCCCTCGCGCGCTGCCTACTGATGCCGCGGGAGCCGGAACATGACGTCATCAGTAGGCAGCCCGCGAGGGAGCAGAGGGTGGAGATTAGAGCTCCCTCGCGCGCCTGATCACAGCACTGCCGCACGCCGCCCAGCAACCCCAGGGACCGATCCAGCATCCACACCAGCTCTCCAGGTAGGGAGGCTGTGTGGAAAATGTTTATTTATAAAATTATTAGTGAATGTATGTGATGTGTGTCTGTGTGTGTGTCTGTGAGTGACAGTGTGTGTGTGTGTCTGTGTGTGTGTGTGTTTGTGAGTGACAGTGTGTGTGTGTGTCTGTGTGTGTGTGTCTGTGAGTGACAGTGTGTGTGTCTGTGTGTGTCTGTCTGTGAGTGACAGTGTGTGTGTCCATGAATGACTGTGTGCGTCTCTGTGTGTGTCTGTGAGTGACAGCGTGTGTGTCTGTGAGTGACAGCATGTGTGTCTGTGAGTGACAGTGTCTGTGAGTGATAGCGTGTGTCTGTGAGTGACAGCGTGTGTGTCTGTGAGTGACAGCGTGTGTGTCTGTGAGTGACAGTGTGTGTGTGTGATTGTATGAGTGTGTGTGCATGTGTGTGTCTGAGTGACTGAGCGTGTGTCTGTGAGTGACAGTGTGTGTGTGTGTGAGTGATTGTATGAGTGTGTGTGTCTAAGTGACTGAGCGTGTGTCTGTGAGTGACTGTGTGTGTCTGTGAGTGACAGCATGTGTGTCTGTGAGTGACAGCATGTGTGTCTGAGTGACTGAGTGTGTGTGTGTGAGTGAGTGATTGTATAAGTGTGTGTGTGTCTGAGTGACTGAGGGTGTCTGTGAGTGACAGTGTGTGTGTGTGTGTGTGTGTGTGTCTGTGAGTGACTGTGTGCTTCGGTGTGTGTCTGTGAGTGACAGTGTGTGTTTGTGAGTGAGTGTCTGTCTGTGTGTCTGTGAGTGATTGTATGAGTGTGTGTGCATGTGAGTGTATGAGTGTGTCTGTCAGTGTATGATGAGTGTGTTTGTCAGTGTATGAGTGTGTGTCTGTCAAATCAGTGAGAGTATGTTTGTCATTGAGTCTGTGTGTGACTATCAGTGTGTCTGTCAATGAGTGTCAATGAGTGTGGGTCTGTCAGTGTCAATGAATGAGTGTGTGTCAGATCAATGAGTCTGTGTCTGTCAGTGATGTCTGTGTGTTTGTCATTGAGTGTGTGACTGTCAGTGTGTACAGAGTGTAGTGGAGCAGAGCGCGGTACAGGAGCTTCTGTTTCCTGTACCTGGCCAGACTGACAGGAGGTGCTCACAGAGAGAGCACTCCCTGTCAGTCCGTCCGGGTACAGAAAACTGAAGCTCCTTTAGGGGATCTGCTCCGCTCAGCAATGCAACAATAGAGGTAGGAGGCACACACCAGGAAGTTTGACCACTAAAGGGGTGGGGGGTGCACCAAGGGACAGGGAGGGAATGGGAGAGAAACACCAAGAGACAGGGAAAAAAGGGGGGAGGGGGAAAGGGGGGAGGGGAGAAGAACACTAAGGGACAGGGAACGGAAGGGACCACTAATGGTCGAGAGGAGGGGAGAGGGGCTGGTTTAGAGGCACATAGGTGAAGATTTTGGGGGGGGGGCGGAAAAATGCATCTTCGCCTATGTACCTAAAAATCCAAGCACCGGCCCTGCCTATATCCTAATACCCCGGAGCTTGGTGCTACATTTCATTTTCCGACCTCCACAGCTGAGAAGGTGATTAAGGACAAGCTTGGTCGTAATATTGTTTTTCTAGGTAAATCACAGATTTTCAATAACTTTAATGTAGGTTCCTGTGGATTTAGTGCTTGCCGGTTGTTGCATTTGTGTTCTCTTTATTTTAGGGCACATGCCAAGACAATGTGTCCAAATAAATTGTTTCCCAAACCCTATATGGCCTCAATCAATGTGACTTGTTTCGACGATTTATTGCATAACCATCCCTTACCCCACTTGGTGGAGTTTTTGTTGACTGGATTCACGGACGGGTTCCATATGGGAATCATTTACATGCCATCCGGCATTGTAGAATGCAAGAACCTGCTGTCTGCCCCTGCCAATCTGGTAGCTGTTAACACTCTGTTACAGATTTAATCTGATCAAGGTTTCCTACATGAGCCGTTTAGTTTCCCACTGTAACGGACCGTTTTGCACACAAGGGGTAAAAACCGTTTAGGCGATCGTCCCCCTTTCCAGAGATGCAGGCACAGCTATTGTAGAACACCAAACACACAAACCGCCAATAAGTGAATGCTCCAAACTCCCGAACAGCATCCAATATAGCACTCCAAACACACGAACAGGAACCATACGAATCGCTGCTAGCAGACGAATAGGAAAAGCAGCCAAGCGGCTTACACTCCTAGCAATCAGTCTCTATCAGCATTCAGTAAATCCCCCCCAAAGACGAGACAAGGCTCTGTGTTGAGGGTCAAGCAGTGGTCTGTTTAATGAGGGCTACCTGCCCAGTATTTATGCAGGTCTCCCACCTGGTGGACACTCCCCTAGGGGACAAAATGGGAGACTGTGACAAGGGACAGACAAGCAGACAAATAGGACACACAGTCACAATATATTCCCAAAACTGTGTCTGATTTTAGTTCCATGAATTAAGCGTCGAACACCGCTGTGCATTCGCATGTAAAAAATGGCCGCGACCTCGTGTTCGGGATACGAATGGCGGCCACCCAGCATTCGTAAATTAAGCTGCGGTTAACGCAGCTTCAGGGAGGTTAATTGCCGGCACACTCCAGCTCCCACGTGGTCTATTCATTCGTGCGGTTGTTCGGTAGATTGAATCTACTGAACACCCGGCAGAAAAGCATGAATAAAGCTTTTCTGTAGGCGAAACAAAGTCTTTTAACATGGGGGCCATAGTCCAAAGGCAGCAGGTGAGCAACCAGGCTTCTGCAATGCAATGTGGCGAGATTGCTCTCGTCACATCTCTCCCCTTTTCCAAACAGACTAACAGGGTATCTGACCTACTGCCGGTCAGTGCCCTTGTTAGTCCAGCAGCCCACCCACAAAACACAATCAACAGCACAGCCCACCCACAATAAATGGTTACTACACCTGGGTAAAGGAGAAGCTTGTCCATGTCCAGGTGTCTCATCACGGCTGTGCTGGGTACGGGTATGCTGACTTGGTGGGTTGCTGCGTGGGCAGAGACCAGCGGCACTCTGCCCTGTTGCCAGCGCTACTGGGAGGGTAGCCTGGTTGAAGCCTGGTTGTTGGAGGGGTAGACCGACTGTCTCCCCTTTAGATACACAGCCCTGCTGCTGGAGACCGACTGTCTCCCCATTAGATACACAGCCCTGCTGCTGGAGACCGACTGTCTCCCCTTTGGACACACAGCTCTGCTGCTGGAGACCGACTGTCTCCCCTTTGGCTAAACAGCCCTGTCGCTGGGGGGCATAACCGACCGTCCCTACCCCCTGTGTTGGACGTGCAGAGACCACGGTCCCATCTGCACAGTTGTGGGGCTTACTGTCTCCCCCTGGTACATTAAGCTGCCGCTGGGGAGAGGAGGTAACAAGCTCCTCTCCCATATATACTTCCAGCCGCGGGGAGGGAGACCGACTGTCTCTGCTCCCAATACAGTCCTGCTGCTGGGGAAAGGAGACTGGACTCTCTATTCCCGGTAGGACACTCTGCCGCTGGGGAATGGAGACTGGGCTCCCAATTCCCAATAAATCATTCTGCCGCTGGGGAATGGAGACTGGGCTCCCAATTCCCTGCTGTATCTCCCGCTGGGGAATGGAGACTGGGCTCCCAATTCCCAATAGCTCATACTGCCGCTGGGGAATGGAGACTGGGCTCCCAATTCCCTGCAATTCATTCTGCTGCTGGGGGACAGGAGCAACTATCTCTGTCCCCTGTAACTCAGCCTGCCACTGGGGAGTGGAGACTGGGCTCCCAATTCCCTGCAATATCTCCCGCTGGGGAATGGAGCTTGGGCTCCCAATTCCCTGCATATCACACTGCCGCTGGGGAATGGAGACTGAGCTCCCAATTCCCTGCATATCACACTGCCGCTGGGGAATGGAGACTGAGCTACCAATTCCCTGCATATCACACTGCCGCTGGGGAATGGAGACTGGGCTCCCAATTCACTGTACTACCTGCCGCTGGAGTTCTTCCCAACGTGCCAGCTGACCTTCTCTTTCTGCCCGGTGTTGCAGATTCATGAACACTAGGTTCCTCATGGCCTGCACGTATTTCTCAGCTGGATTGGGTCCAAAGAACTTCAGCCGCAATTCCATCATATTATCAAACTCTCTTCTAGAGTAGCTGTACGCCACTGCTGGTTCCATCCTGGTGCTGTCAGGGTCGCTGTACTCAGACATGCGTTGCCCTCAAATTGTAAATTCCACGGAATGGTGTCGCCTGTAGCTGTCCTTTTGTCTGTTGGAACGATCCCACTGCTGCCACCAATTGTAATGGACCGTTTTGCACACAAGGGGTAAAAAAACGTTTAGGCGGTCGTCCCCCTTTCCAGAGATGCAGGCACAGCTATTGTAGAACACCAAACACACGAACCGCCAATAAGTGAATGCTCCAAACTCCCGAACGGCATCCAATATAGCACTCCAAACACACAAACAGGAACCATACGAATCGCTGCTAGCAGACGAATAGGAAAAGCATCCAAGCGGCTTACACTCCTAGCAATCAGTCTCTATCAGTATTCAGTAAATCCCCCCCAAAGACGAGACAAGGCTCCGTGTTGGGGGTCAAGCAGTGGTCTGTTTAATGACGGCTACCTGCCCAGTATTTATGCAGGTCTCCCACCTGGTGGACACTCCCCTAGGGGACCAAATGGGAGACTGTGACAAAGGACAGACAAGTAGACAAATAGGACACACAGTCACAATATATTCCCACAATGCATCCTGGCTTCCTCCCCTCTGCCTTGGAGATAATTGAGAAGTAATTCAATTATCTCCCAAGACAAAGGCAAATCGCCATTATGCACGTGGGGATACTAAAACACGAATTACTGTTAAAATACACTATGTAAGACACATTACAATAAAACTATACATTTAACATGTGCCCAGATAGCTCAGGTCTGAGCGCACATTATTAAGCGAATGGCGCTCAGACCACACGAATACAGTTTAATCGCAATGGAGCTAAAGTCTTTACACAGTCAGTTTCGTGCGAATGGGCTCCATGGGATTCCTATCTGGGGTATAACATAGACAAGTAAAACTACCGAGGTCGGCGGCTTCAGCTGTGTTCGCTCAAAACTGTGTCCGATTTTAGTTCCATGAATTAAGCATCGAACACCGCTGTGCATTCGCATGTAAAAAATGGCCGCGACTTCGTGTTCGGGATACGAATGGCGGCCACCCAGCATTCGTAAATTAAGCTGCGGTTAACCGCAGCTTCAGGGAGGTTAATTGCCGGCACACTCCAGCTCCCAGGTGGTCTATTCATTCGTGCGGTTGTTCGGTAAATTGAATCTACCGAACAACCGGCAGAAAAGCACGAATAAAGCTTTTCTGTAGGCGAAACAAAGTCTTTTAACATGGGGGCCATAGTCCACAGGCAGCAGGCGAGCAACCAGGCTTCTCCAATGCAATGTGGCGAGATTGCTCTCGTCACACCCACCTTTCTCAGTATGGAGAACTAATCCTATAGGGGTGGTCTCTGGTTAAAGTTCAGCGAAGCAAAGGTTGATTGTCAACCTCTCTGGTCCCCACTCTTCCACGACCCCTAGTCTTAACTCTCTCATTCCTACAGAGGATTTCTCCCTTCAGTAT